TTTTTTTTTTTTTTTTTTTTTTTTTTTTTTTTTTTTTTTTTTTTTTTATTTTGTATAATTACTTTTCTTCTTTATTAATAAACAACAATGACGTGATTAGTAAATGTCAACGTGCAACATTAATAATTCGGAAATTGATCTAAGTAGAAGAAAACAAAAATTTAACCTCAATAATTTGATAATTTCTTCAGTAGTAAATATTGATGATAACTTTGAAATTTTTTCTTTTCAGCTATTTCAGCGTCAATTCTTTTAAAGTAATATCAAAAATTTCATATATAATAATAATAATAATACGATACAATAAATCTTTCTCTCTCGCTCTTTCTCTCTTTCTCTCTGTTACAGGTGTCTGTAATTAATTAATTAATCAATAAACGAATTAATTAATTAATCAACCAATCAATAATAGTAACTAACATGCACAATAGTGACGAGATTTGAAAAAAGTTTATAAAAGGAGTGTATCAGTACAAGGGCAAAAAAATATTTACGTTCTGAAAAAGGGAATTTCTTTTTTTTTAATTATTAATAATAATTAATAATCAATAATATTTGTAAATAAATAATGTTTATATTAACATCCCATTGTTGCTGTCGACAGGTGGTGATTATTTTAAATCTAAATAATATTAATTAATTAGTAATAATTAAAAAAGGCACCTGAAACATGGTTAAAAAATTATTTTGTGCTTTACAGATAATTAATTTTATCAAGTCTTATTAATTATTTAGAAAGAAAAAAAAAAAAATAAAAAAAAAATAATCTGTACAAACGGAAGAGGGGGCTACTCAAAAATAGTTCATAGGTGGGGTAATTAACAAATCAACCAAATTGTTAATCAATTAATTAATGTGTAGTGTAGTTAATGATCAACAGTTAGTAATTAATTGATAATTTACAGATGCGGGAATGCTAAGTACCACACAACACAGGACAGAGAAAGAGAGTCAAGTGTTTATGTCTTCTTATAATAATTTTGTTAATCAACGATTATGTAAAGTTAAGTGCTTTATAGTTTATTTAATTAATATTATTAATTATCCTATCATTTTATGTAATTTTATAAGTATGTATATATAGTTAATGTATATTATGTATAGTTGAATAACTACGATAAGCAATGAAAAATAGTTGTCTAGAAAATCTGACTGAAATCTTATTGGCACTTGAGGACATTTAAAATGCCCGTAACATTGAGGGAATAAACCTTTTAAGATTTATTTACAATGTTGTATTAATTAGGATTATTTATAATTTTAGTGATTGTGATGGTTAATGATTTGTTACTTCTAAGGTGATCTAGTTAACTAGAGATCAAATAAATAAAATGTGATGGAATGTGATTGTGACGGTTAATTATATGGTGATGATGCATCTAAATGGTTCTAAAATATGCAGAATTATAAAAAAAAATTTTCAAGTAAATAAAATGGTTACACATTTTATACATTTTCTTAATGTTGAAATTTTTAATATTAATTTAAAGATTCTCCGTGTGATAGGTGGTACTCAGCTTAACTGTAATTATTTTTAAAAAATAAAAATAATTTTATTTTGATTTTTTTTTTTTTTTTTTTTTTTTTTTTTCCTGCCTTTTTTCACGGTTACACATATAGTATAATCTATAGTCAAAAATTATTAATTTAACAATAATAATAAAAATTGAAAGAATAATTTAAAAATTTTTCAACCATAGACTATTATTATAGGTACCAAATGATCTTGGCATTAATTTGTTTGTTTGTTAAAGTTGTATTACCCCACATATGCGGTTGTTCATTCTGGATAGGCTGGTAAGAACCGATTAGTGAGTGTGCGTGGCGTTGCATGAGCCAATACATTACGCACCGAGTTGACCCGGAATGGCACGTGCCAAGCCGGCGAATTAACGTATCCATTCGTGTAGTTCCATCGGTTGTAATCACCACCTGTCAAAATGTTACGACTACTTTCATAATTATTCTACTAATTATTTTATTTTTTAACTATTCAAATAGATATCCAATCGATCAAACATTAACAAAATAAAACTACAAATAAATTACTCTGATTTTATTCCAGTCAATTAATTAAATCCTCGGGTTTAATTAATCGATCCTTTTAAAAACGTAATTATTTTTTATTTCTTAATTGCCTAAAAATTGTTCCCTAATTAAATTATTTCCCTACATTATAATAACAATAAATAGAATAGTCAATTTTATTCCTCATAATTAATTAATTAAAGTTATTATTTGAACTACGTGTCATTGGGCGAGGCTTGTGCTTAATAATTAACGATATTTTTTTATTTTTCATTATTCAATTATTCAGTCATTTTCTATTAATCGGGGATTAAGGACATGAAAATGTAATATATTTCATGAATATAAAAGTAAAAAAAAATGATAAAAAAAAATTTTTAATCAATAATTAATTATGTGCAATGATTGTGCATGATGGGTATGATTTACTAATTGTAAGATGCATATTATTTTACAGGTAATACCGAGTCTACGTGATTAGTATTAATTGTACAATCGGTTCTCCTAGTCATGCCAAAAAAAATCCTTTGTTTAATTTTTTTATTTTTTTGCTTTATCGAATAATTATATTAAAAAAAAAAAAAAAAAAAAAAAAAAAATTCTCATCAACTTAACAGTCGTACCAAACATTCAAACTTTCTAAAACTCCACATATATTGGCCGTACATATTTCCAATTATTATAGTTTTTGGTATAACCAATAAAATTCCCTGGCAAGTCTTCGATTCGGCACTCAACTTGCTTTCGTTATTCCTATCAATAATTAAAGTTACTAATTTTTGAATAATAATTAATTAAAATTGGTAGCAGTATTTAATTTTAATTAATAAAATAAAATAAATATGGCACATGTATCACAAATAATAACAATATAAATATAATACATTAATCCCAAAGAGGATTTTGGTAATTAAAATAATTAAAATCGACGTGACGTTTAATCTAATATTGAGCAACTTTTTGTCATAATTATTAATTATTGAACGTAAATCACTCCCGAAATCATATATGTATATATATATATATATATATATATATCATATCTGTGTATGAGATTTTTTAAATTACCCGTTTGCTATAGTAGATTAAGGGAGGAAAGTGTATTGTTAATAATTGATGACTGATGCTAATCGCGATGATTGTCATCTTTTTTTTTTTTCAATAACTTAATTATTAGCTATTGTTGTTTCATCAATTAATCAATCAATGACTTTATAATTGTAATAATATTATTATTTATTGTATTGATTTACTCATTCCTATTGTAAATTCCTTTAATAACGACTTAATGCTAGAAGAATATTTTATTGTGACCTAACTACAAGCCTAATAGTAGTTCTATCACTACAGCTCTAACCCCATCAAACATCCTTTCATCTTTTGATCGTAATAGAGTTCCAATATCATAACTGATTAATCAGATTATTAATTTTTTTGTTTCAATCATCGAATAAGTATAAATAAAATAAAAAAATTTAATTCTCCGATTAATCAATAAAATTTTAGCTCAATAACGCTTACGATCATTTCTTCCCTTCAGTCGGACAGACCGCCAAAAGAAAAAAAAAATAATCAGTCAAGTCAATCAATCTCATTTTGATCTCTATTAATAAAATTCAATTCCTGTATTCAATTGCCTTTACGAGCTCCCAAATTCATCATTGCTTAATAACATCCATTTAAAACGATTATATCGTTTGTCTATTGACGTGTCTCGTTGTTATCAGTCTCGAAACTCCTCTCAAACTAAAAAATAAACTACGAAATATCTATTTCCATTTTATTATTGGAGATTTTCTTCGTCTTCTTCAGGATCAAGATCTTCCCTCTCTTCGAGCAGTAGCGGGGGAGGAAGATTTGCCACATCAAAACTGGAATCCGTGCTAGAAATAACATGTCCGTCCTTAATCTCCAAATCCACCGAAACGCGATGCCTCCTCTTAGCATTGAGTTGTCTTTTACGCCTGAATGCCCTCTGGCCTCGATCTGGAGTGTGAGCAGGGCTGTCCATGCTTGAGGAAGTGTCTCCCTCGCTCTGCGGACTTCGACATGCCCCGTAAGCCATAGTCTTAGTTCTAATTTGCGTGCGAATCGGCATCGGTGGACTAGAGGTCGTCGATTCACCACTCAAACTCGTCGTCGAGTAGTAGGGAGTCGATTTTGCTCTAATAGGAACAACTACTGGCCGTTGGGTGGACCTGGTTCCACGTCTGCTGTCCAGCGGAACTGGGTCTGAGTATCCCCGATTAAATTTATAAGCAGCTTCCTTGAATGCTCTTGACTGATCTCCACCAAGACTCATTTCAAGCCTCGGTTCCTCGAAACTCCACTCGTCGTCTCCAGATCTTGACCTAGAGGCCATGCCCGAGTACCTGTCATGAGTATCTTCAGACATGCTATCAGCCGGACTGATCTTCATCCTGTTGGCTCCAGTCATACGAACTGGAACATTATCATACAAATGTTGATATTCTTCCTCCTCTTTTTCTTCTTCTTCTTCTTCTTCTTCTTCTAAAATAGGCACAGGAATACTCGGCAACGCTCCAAACTCGAGATCTTCATCAACAACCTCCTCTTCATCATCATCATAATCCTGATTAAAAACAATCTGAGGTGGTGATATGTCGGTATAAACGTTGGTCAATTGATCATCATCATAGCGCTTGCGATGCTCATCAAATTGACTCTCAACAAATTTTCGCGCTTCATTAAACTCATCATTCCTTTCATCATCATCATCATCATCATCATCATCTCTATTTTCTTTATCATCTTCATTATCTGTATACCTTGTTTCATCATCCTCGAGACCTACACTAGTCAGGTCTTCGCGGGACATAGATAAATTGACATTTTGACATTTAGAATTTGGACGCATACTGGTGACACTTTTTTCCGAAGTAGTAGTGTCGCTTTGGCTTTTTTCAACAGCTATTCCAGAGTAGTACTGCTGACCGGGAATCACAGTGGTGCTCCCAGACCAATCAGAAATAGAGGCCCCAAGTTCCGCGAGTGAGTTGTCGTCAGACTTGGTGCCGGAATATTGACAGAATTGACGAACTGTGTTATTAGAGCTGGACCATTCGGACATTGACAGCCCCATTGAAGTGTCTTCGCTGTGGGAAGACCCAGTTATATAAGAATTGCTGCGCGGTTTCACCGCTATTTTAACAGTACCATCGACGATAGTTGCCGAAGTCGAACTTTGATTGTCTTCAAGTAATCCAGAGTGCAAGTCATCATGAAGAGTTCGATTTTCGTCGCTCGAGTCGCTGTCTTCCGCCCGCGGAGTCTCAGTACTGTCAGTAACAGTAACTTTTACAGCTTCCTCAGGTTTGATTTCCATGTAGAACGTCTCAACGTGACTGACTACTGGAGTCTCGAAAACGGGAGAGCTTGGCGGTGATGGCCAGTCATCAGAAGTTTGCAACTGCAGCCTAGACCTTCTGGTTTTTGGAGACTTTGTATCGTCTTCTGGGTTATTGCCCGGCATGTCTATCGGGATATCAGGAAGCTCTGAAGAAGTTCTCCGGTCGTCAGAAACTGAAGGTAAAGCTGTTCCAGAAGGTGGATCGGAAGACAAAGAGGGTTGATGATCACTGGACATCAAGGATTCATCATCCAAGCTTGGGGATCTCGAGGAAGGCTTGAATGAATCTTCTAGATCGCTCTTGTCTTGTTCGGAAGTTGTTGAACGCTCGGAAATACGTGAAAGTGTGCGTGAGAGAGCAAAAGCTCCGTAATTGGCGAGTATTTCCGGGCCTATTGTGTACGCAAGAGCTCCAGGATAATCTGCGAGGTCTTCTCTGTAACTGTCTTCACCTGAAGCGCCATCTGGATGTTGATCATGCGGGTGATGTTGATCAATATCCGGAGGCATCCATCCCGCGTCTTCTAGACTAGAACTCCCAGAACTCTCCAGAGGAAATGGCTTCCAAGTAGAACTCATTTCCATCCTTGGACCTGGTTGGGAGCCACTACTGCTTTCATCTTCCAGTGAAAGTTCCCGTCGACTTTCTTTAATCATCGCAATCTCTCGATGGTCCACTATCGGTTGCACCACTCCAATTCCCAATGGCCTTGCTATTGAACAAGAACTAGAGTCAGGATCTTCCCGATCTGGAGTATAAGTTATTGTTTCTTCACTTCGAGATCTCTCGGTGCTGAGTCTTGATTTTTTATCATCCAAATCGGGATGAAAATTAATCTCCGAAGTGTCCATTCTCGGTGGTTCATCTTCAGGAAGTTCCTCGGCCTCTTCTACAGCGTCGTCTTCTCGGCGCATCTCTAAATATTCAGGAGTCAGTTCAACCTCAACCAGCGTTTTCTCATCCATTTTATCAGCATAATCCGGTGAAGAAACATCACTATCCGGGCCCTGCATTTGAATTTGTGCATCCAAAGCATCAAGAGTGTCTTCACTGGTGTCTCCAGTGGAATCCAACCGCTGTTTTTCTTGCTGTTGAGCCTGAAACACTGCCTGATTAAATAAATCATTATTTTGTTCTTCTCTTTCCCCTTCCCCTTCCCCTTCCCCTTCCTCTTCTCCTTCACTTGGGGACGGATCTTCGTCAGCGTCTGAACATTCTTCAATGGAAATTTGAATCGGTGATTTAACCATGTTTGGAGGATCATCACCGTCAAAGTAGTCAATTGGCATTTCTATTGGCCCTTCGACGATACTTACAGTGACGTTGGGTACGTCATCTCGGTCAATAGAACCACGTGGAGTTGCCTCGTCAGTGGTAATCGAGAGCGAGGAGCCAATTGTCTTAGTCTTACGATCGATACTCTGGCCCTTTTCACCCTTCTTTTCACCCTCAGAACTGTCCCCACTACCACTTAAACTCTCGGGTTTATTTTTCCCCTCGGTCTTTTTTACATCACTCACGCTCACACTAACACTTTTTATCTGATTATCTTGAATAATGTCTGGCTCTGCTGACGATTCAACAGAGCTTTGATCGATGAACCTAGTTGCTGGTTTTATTTTCGTTATCTCTTGCTCATTCACTGGCTCTTGCGTATCTTGTCTCTGAATAACTTGTTCATTTTCCTGCTCATACGGAATCAAGTCTGGACAAGTAGTAATATCCTGAAATTCATTGAGCGGTGACTCGAGATACTGAGTTGAGGGTTCGGTCATCGATTGCGAGTCAGTGAAAATTTCGGGAAGTGTTGTGTGGTCAGTGCTGTCTGAGCGATGATTTGGAAAAACTTCTGCCACCGGTTCAACAATCGGCTTGGTAATTTCTTTCTTCAATTCGGTATCTAAAACTTTATTACTTTCTTCTGGAGTATCTATTGTGTCATTTTTTGAAGGGGATAAAGTGTTTGGACGGCGCTGAACACCCGGTGATTGAATGGAATCCATTTTTGTTAAGACAGGAACAGCACTCTCTGAAACCCCTAATTTATCTTGGGTATCATTTAATTTAATCTTTTGTTTATCATCTTCTTTTCTAATCACTTGTTTTTCTATCTTCTTATCTTCTGCTTCCTCGGCAGCAGTTTCTTCCTCCTCGTCTTTGAGAACTGGAAGTTCTTTGGCGTCAGGACTGCGAGCTGGAGATCTTGAGGGTGATCTACGATTAGGAGATACTTTTCCATCAATAGATTTACCTTTGTTGAATTTTTTAGGGGAAACTCTATCAACAGAATCTCTTTCCGCGTTACTGAGACTTTTAGAAATTCCCAAAGATTTTGGTCGCGGCTTATCACCCTTAAAAATGCCAATTCCTTTGATCAATTCTTCGTCGTCGACGGAAGCAGATTTGGCCCGTGGTTTTTTCAGTTCTTCGTCTTTTGACAGCGAGCGGTCCATCAACCTAGTAACCGATTTAGATCTTCCCTTTTGGACAATACTGATCTCCGGTTCTACATCAACGTCTACATCCGTCGAATCGATAATGATAATTTCTTGCGGCATGTCTAATTTAAGTTTGGACTTGTCTATTTTGGAAGTTGCCGGTGAAACCCGGGACTCTTTGGAGCCAGATTTCTTGAGCGGTGGCTTGTCAGCTTCCAACGACTTTGACTGTTTTTTGAAATCTTTTTTCGGCTCTGATTTGGCTTTCTTTATCTTTTTCGGCGACACATCTTGTACGAAATGTTTATTCTCAATTTCTGGCGATAAAAGAGTATCT